AACCTCAGCCCAGGCTTGCAAAGCAAGAGAGGAAGAGAATCGAAGGTTCCGCATTTGAGAGGCCCAAGGGCCGCGAATGTATGGAGAGAACCCGAAGGCTGAGAGTATAAATGCCCCGAAGGTCAAGAGGAAGAGGACTCGAGAGTCCAACAAGTGAGGGCCCGAAGGCCAGGCCTTCAAGGCCTAGATCAAGCAGGCTCGAAAGCCAAGAGCAAGGAGGGGGGGGACTCGAGATCCACGTAAGAGAAGGAATGGGAGGGGTCCCCCCTACGGGGGGTAAAGCCCATCAAGCATGCCTCACTTGAGCTTCGAGGACGTAACCAGACGGGGAGGTCCTGACGAATACCATAGAGAAGACGAGTGGAAAAAAAAAATCTATGGACCGAACGGTCCCATTTTCCAACGAGGCTTCGAACAAAATCGATCACGCTACGTGATGAGCGAGCGCCCTGACCGGGCGTACCCGGCTCAAATCCACTTGGAGGCATTTCACCGCGGTGGAAACCAAGTTGCACTTGGTTTTCACCTAGCAGTTTGAAAACCAGTGACAATCTTTCCGCAATGGTGCAAAACAAACGTTCCTCACAGTGGGGTCAAGGTGGACGACAGCATTGGGCTCGTCGTCAAACTCCACCTACCCCACCGGCCCCTACTCCCCCTCCCCCTACCTCGGCTATTGACTTCGATCGACTGTTACTGAGTCTCACTCGGTACAATAGAAGTCTGGTCGAAACAACTACTGCAATTCCTCGGGGAGGGGGTAGCACTGGTCGGACACAACTCGTGTCCGAACCAGTCTCCCCTTCCCAGGAGGGGAGATTATTGGGTAACACTACTACTACTTCTACTACTACTGGCAATTGTTGATTTCCGTTTTCAGGTCACCCCCAATTTCCTACTCCCCTCCCTGTGAGACCGCTACCTATAAGAGCGCAGCGGTCTTCAAGCACGGCTGATGATATCTTTAGCGTGTTTTTAGCCTAGCTTCAACTTCATTTGTAGCAGTGATTATTTATAAGTAAGCTTCTATTAGAAACCATTTGGTTATCCTTGTTGGGTTGACTTGACAACTTGGTTTCCTCTAAGCTGATCATCGAGCGAAAGACCTCTAATATTCGGCAAAAACTAGAAGGGAAGTAATACAAAGCACAGAGGTAAAGTGATCGATGCAGAGTAAAACATTGCATGAAATACTAAAAGTGACTCTTGGGCAGATCTGCACGGGTTGACATGTGTACTACAACTCGGAACCTCAAGAGGTTGATGAGGATCTCACTTAGTCGTATTCAGTGGAGTTTCACCACCCGTTTTACGTGAAGTGGCGTAAAACTCTGTGAAAAACGCGATATTGGCGGTGATATGCAGTAGTTGATCACTCTATCGTCCAATAGCTGTGTGCTGTGGAATCCGTCTGCCCAATCTGTCCCTCCTAGCTATGGCTAGTAGGATGATAAACTGATCGCTCGATAGTCGTGAACTTTGTGCAACTTGTCTCATTAGCTAGGGTGTCTCATAGTTGTTACTCAATGAAGTGGTTCAATCGTTGTCAGAGACAATAATTGTCACATTTTTTGTCACCTCTGTTGAGGCTTATCTTGCTAATGTATTCTGGTTATGATATCAATGATTTAGATGAGTTGGATTATAGTGAGGATATGGGTACCAAAGACTTCATGGGGACGGACTCTGGTTCTATCCAGGGAAATGACTTCCCTCCCTCCACAGATAGCTTTCAAGGAGGTTGTACTGTTGCTGTTGTCTTCATCCTATTCCTCCAAATAGTAACGCTCTGGCTAGTGTTATAAGTCAATGTCAACAGGATCTGTGGTGTCGAACAACCCAACGGGTGATCATAGTCGTGAAATATGTTTTTCACTAGTGTTTTTCATATCACTAGGGTGGTGAAACTCCAGTGACGGCTGACTGAGTGAGTGAGTGACGTTTTATTATTATCATGGGCATGCCGCAGTGATCTGAGAACGCCGTGGCGTGGTACGATAAACCGATTTCGAACTTAAAATCCTAGAATCGGATTTGAATTCCAAATTTGATTCAATGAGCATTGTGGCGTATTACTGCCTACTTGTGTGTTATCGTCCATAATGGGCGATGGTCGGCTTTAGTATCAATAGAAAGAAGTGCTTGTGTTGGCAGTTATTGTGGAAGGGGTGGTATTGGATTATTTGTGATGCAATTTTTTGCGGGGAAATTTCAAAAATTTGTGATTTTTTCTGCTGTTAAGATACGAACTGTAAATATTTGAAAATTAGGAAAATTCTAATTGTCATAGTTTTGTTGAAAAAAATGAAGGTATTCTAGTGTCTAATTTTACTTGAATTTTTCCATCGAAAAATCATATCGCTGTCCCAAAAGTTTAAACAATTTGGGATTAACGCAAAATACAAGACTTTGTGGAAGCTTTTTTAACATAATAAAGTTTATTATGTTAAAAAAGCTTCATTATTAAATAAATTTTCAATAGGTTTCATTTATTTAACATAATAAATGAATATATAAAAGGCCCCTAGCGCTGAGATTCGC